ACTCTTCCTCATCCTCCTCCTTCTCAGCCATTTTCCGCCCGAGGGCGCCCGAGCGCCAGGGCGCGCTGCGGGCGCTGCGGCGACAAACCTGAAAGCGGCCCCGCCTCCGCGAGCCAGGGACGTAGACGTGGGGGGAGCGTGAGTCGAAAGAGGCGGACCACGGCGATGGGTTGGAGGTGTCGTCGGCACCCGTGCTCCCTGAAGTGCAACCACGACGGACTGATGACGAGCGTTGCGCAGGCCAGTCTGCAGTAGACGACGAGGTCTAGTGGGGCCCTCAGTGGGACTACCTAACAGACCACCCCGATCTAACCCGAAGACCCAAATTTCGGGTTTGGGGGGTACGGGTTCCACATGTGTTTTTTCGATGTTCCCCGACCCCTCCGACTCAAGGCCGCCAGCGTTCGGGATATCACAGGGATGCCCACTGTCGCCTTCTCTTCTCGATCGTGATGACCCTGCTGATGTTCGACGCGACGCGCAGCATGCTCGGCAAAGGCATTCATCAAGATGGCCGGCTGCACCTGAGCGAATTGATCTACGCCGATGACACATTGATTGTTGGTGTGACAGAGGAGTACGTCCGCGATCTCATGGAGAGCACCAGAGAGGCCGGCACCAATTATGGCTTATGTTTTAATTGGGGCAAGCTAGAGGTAATGTCAATTCGTTGCCAGACATAGCTCCTACGCCCTGACGGTCAACCGATCACCCAGAAGGATCACATGGTGTATCTGGGGGGGCGGCTCCACGCAGACGGGGGGAGCGGAGCTGAACTCAGTCGGCGCATCGGCATGGCCCACAAAGATTTCGACACGCTGTGCAGATTGTGGAGACACGCAAAGAAATGTCTGCCCAAGAAGGTCATGATGTTTCAAGCCTGTGTCGTGTCCAAGCTGATGTACTGCATGCACACCCTCTGGTTGAATCAGGCAGAGAGATCGCGACTGGACGCCTTCCAAGCTCGGCGCCTGCGAAGAATCGCTGGAGCCCCTCACTCCTATCTCAGCCGGGTGTCCAACGCAGCCGTGCTGGAGAGGTGCGGCAGGAATCGTCTGACATCCAGTTTAGCTTGCAAGCAGCTCGAACTGATTGGAAAAATCGCTTGTCTACCAGACGACAATGTCACGCGACGAACGGTATTCCAACCAGGGTCGTTCACCCTAGCCCGCCCTTTCGGGCCCCGGAGGCGAGGCAGACCGAGGAATACATGGAAGCGCAATGTGCTTGACTTGGCCTGCGCAGCGGCTGGTGGCCGAGACGCCTTGGAGGAGCTGTGGCGGCACAGACCTGGAGACTGGCGCGGAGTCGCACGGCGCTTCTCTTCGCAGCTGTAGCATTCAGCAGATATGGATGGTTTGTCTGGATGTAGAGTGGACTGTCTCTGCTTACGGGGTGGTGGGAGAGCCACTCACATGGACTGAAACAGCGTGAGCAGTGAGCCTGCCAGTGCTGTTTCCTCCTCGCCCTCCTCCTCGCCTTCGTCCTCCTCCCCCTCGTCGTCCTCCCCCCCCCTTCGCCGCCGCCGTCGTCGCTGTCGGTGTCTGCACGGCGTCTTCTTGTTTCGCAGCCGCGCCTCCGGCAGCGGAACTTGCTGTTTCACTTATTTGCCAACGCACCTCTGACGTGCACGGCGCTTCTTCTTCTTCTTCTTCTTCGGGTTGGGTTGGGGTGTTTTGGTAGTGGGTGAGACATGGCGGAGCCGTCAGTCCACTAAGTGTACACGGACACGGCGTCCGCCCAGCACACCAGGCCCGGGCTCCTGTGTGGGCAGTCGTGAGCAGGCCGAGCCTGCCGTCGTTCGGGAGGGAAGGCGCCGAGGCCATTGCGCATGTAGTCTCGCTGCTCCAACTTACCCCATTCCACGACACAGGTTCCTGGTGAGGCCAGTCTACGGCCATCTTGCAGCGAGATAGCAACACTCCTTCCTGTGTGAATTGCACTCATGTGTCGTCTGTTCCATGGGAGTGGTAAGTCCTCCCGTCACTTTATGTTGGTACTAAGCCCAAAAATAATAAAATAACTACGCGAAAAGCACCAGGAAGGAGGTTTGGGGTGAACCAAGAGACCCCTGTTTCGGAGTGGGCGTCTGGCCAACCGTATCTCGAGGGCGTGTCAGTGGCCAAAGTGCCGCTGTGATGGAGCGCCCAAGCGAAAATGTTCCAGCACCCTCATAACAACCTCGGAGCGGAGGAATATAAGAGTTGCGCATCTCCGTAGGGCCCCTATCGCAGACAGGAATAGCCCAGGAATAGCCCTCCTCTACATCCTCATCCGCCTCCTCTTCCTCCTCCTTCTCCTCTTCTTCTTCGTTTAGTGTTGGATTTCTCATTATAGCGTTCACGCGATTCGTGTTTTTCGTACTAAGATTCCCTATATACAAAAGATGGAGTTCGTGTTATTACTCCGACCGCGCCGTGGAGGAACACTCCGCCTACTCGCCTGCCTCCTCCTCCTCCTCCTGAGGCACACTCAAATGTGATGCTATGATACGTGATGATATGGCATGGTTGTACAGTCTGTTATGCTATGTTATGGTATGCGACGGTATGGTGTTGTGTGTTATGTCATGTCACAGTATGCTTGTTATGGTATACAATGCTATGGTGTCGTATGATATGTTGTGTTGTGATGTGCTACGTTATGTTATGCCATGTTCTGGTATGATGATGGTGGTGATGCTGATGGTGGTGATGATGATGCTTTGATTTGGCACTGTCTACCCGCGGACGGACGTGTCGAACTGTCCACTGGTGGTCGGTTGTAAAATGCGACTGCACTATCTACGCTATGTGGCCTGCGCCGCACGGCAAACAAGGCCCACACGCAAGACCATCACCCGCGCAACATGAATTCACTCATAGATTCAAAACGTCGTGGTTAAGGATTCCCTTGAACAATTCAGAAAGCAAGGAGGCAACATGAACCTCCGCTCCGGTGGACGTGATGTCGGTGAATGGTCTTCCGACCGTTACTGTGAAAAGCCATGACATGGCCACCGACTGCCTCCGACTGTCGGTAAATGAAATTACAATTAGTAGTGTTGTTGTTGGTGTTGTTGTGCTGCTGGTTGTGGTGTTGTAAGTGTTGTTGTTCCTCATGTCCAAGGATGGGGTTTCTTGCGATTCCCCATATCCAAAGGAAGGGGTTCTTGTTATTCCTCCGACCGCGCCGAGGACACCTCCACATCCTACTCCCCCTCACTCATAGGTATGTTACGTTATGATATGGTGTGGTATGTTTTCCCCATATCCAGACGATGGGGATCGTGTTCCTCATATCCAAAATGATGGGGTTCTTGTTATGACTCCGACCGCGCCGAGGCGGCCCAGTCACCTCCCTCCTCCTCTTCCCCACACAGAGTCACACTCGGATGCTATCTTAGGCTGATGTATGCCATGTTATGGTATGATAATGGTGATGAGGAGGGAGAGAGGAGGATGATGATGATGATGATGATGATGATGCGGATGCGAATGATGACGATGATGATGATGATGATGATGCTGGTGCTGCTGATGATGATGAAGTAGAATGTCCTCTTGATGGCCATAAACCCGTTATAACGCAGCTGTTCATAGACATGTTTGTTGTGAGCAAGCCCGAGCTTCGTATACACTGAACGGTTCCACGACCGCACACGGCGACCACACTTTGGAGCTTTTGATCTTCATGTAAGCACAGAGTGGTAGGTGGGAGGGTGTGCTTGACTGGCTGCAGAGCAAGAACGGCCACGAAACTGTTCAGACCAGAACGTTACAAACAACTGGATATGTCCGATGTCCCCTTGATGGCAAAAAGTCTTTACAGCGCAACTGTTCAACGACATGGTGTGAGCAAGCCCGAGCTTCTTATATACTGAGCGGTGCCGCGACCGCACACGACGACCCTAGCTTGCCCCTACCTGGCACCTGGCCGTTTGATGTCAGACATAGTTTGCTGTGAAAACTCTCGACGCCCCTGGAGGTTCCTGAGCAATTCCACGAGCAAAACCAACGTGCAAGCTGCGACGACATATGCACAGAGGGGGCCAAGCGCGAGGGCACGACCGCGGCGTGCCCACAGGGGCCACCGTCGTCCGCGGGGAAACCACCAGAAAAACCGAGGGCCCACAGATTGCGATGAGTCGCTCGATTTTGGCCGAACCTGCAGGGCGACACTAAACAATGTCTACCATCGCAAAGTTCCATAAGCTGCTCAAAAATGGCGGAGTGCGCGCGAGCGCTATCGGCAAAGAATATGGCCGAACAAGGGCAGCCTGTGCTCAGACACTTGCGGATGAGGTTAGAAAGAGCGAGGCTACTCTCTTGCTCACCGAATCTCGGCCAGATAAGCACGACCCCTCGGATGCATGGGGAGGAGATCCAACCAACGAAAAGGCGGAACCCGATGGCGTCAACCAACCTCGATCCGTTTATCCAAAAGCTGTGGCCAGCATTTGTGAACTCGTTGGCTCTGGCTACTTCTCCTGTTCCGAAGCCGACCTCGAGCAACGCTTGCCCAAGCGCCTTGCGGCAGGCGCGGGCGGGCCCTCGGAGGACCGCGCGAACCTCAGGCCGCGCTCATGCACGAAGCTCGGCGTCTGCGGGCGAAGCTGCTCGCCGGGGATGCGGCCGATCTGACGTTCGACTGTCTCGAACCAAGCCGTCACCCTATTGCCTCCTGGGCCCTCCTGGAACCTGCTGTGGCATCCTGGGGTGGATTCGTGCCCACGAGTCTTTTTTTATAGGGGGGCTTCTGCAAACAATGTTTGGTGCACCCTTTTTATAATCGAAGTCTCCGCCACCCCGCGCGTGCTGTCGCTTCGTGCCCACGAGTCTGGCCACCACAACACGCAAACCGATCGAGGCATCCTCAAATTCTGGCCCCACTTGGGGGCGAAACTGATCACCTCGCTCGAGAGATCCTCCAAATCTGCTCCGAACGCGGAGGATGATGAGTCCCAAAACAGGCAAACCGATCGAGACATCCCGCCATTTTGGCGCGAACGGAGGAGTGCAATACCCCTGGCGGCTCCCCCTTGGGGGTGCTGAAATCCGCACCTCGCTCGAGACATCCTGAGAATTTGCTCTGCCATCATCATCATCATCATCATCATCATCATCATCATCATCATCATCATCATCATCATCATCATCATCATCATCAACATCATCATCATCATCATCATCATCATCATCATCATCATCATCCTCATCCTCATCCTCATCCTCATCCTCATCCTCATCATCATCATCATCATCATCATCATCATCATCAGCATCAGCATCATCATCACCAACATCATCATAGCACAATGTCGCATAACATATCATAACGCAACCTACCATAACATACCATAACATAACAGAACATACGACGCCATAACATCACACACGCACACACAATCCGTCGGTCCCCTTGTGGGGCCACCAGGCCGTAGGCTGAGGGTTTGCTGTTCCCTGCGAGGGTTCCAGTTTCCAGTATCCACTGTTCCAAGATTGCTTTATGCTGCTTACTGTTACTTGTTGTAGCCCGCGCGAGGGGGGGAGCCGAAAACCAACAAACCTAGAGTCTCCTGGGAGGATTCTCAGAATCTCTGAGGGGGGGCGAAATTGACACCCCTCACGCAGATCGGCGGGGTCAGAGTCCAAACACACATGGGATTTGCCACATTTCTGAAATCTGGTGGCAACCCTCACGCAGTTTGGCAGAGTCAGGGTCGAAAAACCAATGGGATTTGCCACATTTCTGAAATTCGACGGCACCCCTCACGCAGTTCGGCGGAGTCAGGGTCGAAAAAACAATTGGACTTGCCACATTTCTAAAACTCGGAGCACCCCTCACGCAGATCGGCGGGGACAGGGTCGAAAAACCAATGGGATTGACAACATTTCTGAAATTCGGCGGCACCCCTCACGCAGATCGGCGGGGTCAGGGTCGAAAAACCAATGGGATTTGCCACATTTCTGATTTTCGGCGGCACCGCTCATGCAGATCGGTGAGGTCAGGGTCGAAAAAACAAATGGAATTTGCAACATGTCAATACTTCGTAGAAAAGCTGCTTCCACAGCAAACGCGAGCAAGCTCGACATGCAACACCGAATTCAACAATATCATCAGAATCTCAATTTGTTCTGCCGATTACTCATCGTCTGCGCGTGAAGTCTCGATCTGAGACACCACTGCGGACTTGAGCCAAAATGGCCACGGATACGCTTTGGTGTGCTCATACACGTTGAAACTTTCGCGGAGGGCCGCGCGGATGGCTTGGATCGGCGCTGGAGCCCCCCTGGTCAGGCGCCGCCCCTGGCGCGCTGCGTGCGCCAGGGGAGGGGGGTCCAGCGCCGATCCAAGAACTCCGCGCGAACCACCGAAAGTTATGCGTACGAAGCTGTTTCCACGAACGGAGCGGGGGGGGCGCGGAGGGAGGGGTGGAGAAAAAGGATCCGGAGAACCGCGAGGGGAGTTAGGCTCAGGGGGGGATATAATTGACTACCTACCAGACCACCCCAACCCAACCCGAAGACCCGAATTTGACCCGAATTCGGGTTGGGGGGGGGTATGGGTTCCATGTGTTTTTTCAACGTTCCCCGACCCCCCCCCCACTGGAAATGGAGGGCAAATTGAGGCCTTCGGGTTGGGTTGGGGTGGTTTGGTGGGTGGGGGGATATCATACATCGGCCCCGTCGCCCCCCTGACTGCAAGTGGGGGCCGGAGAGCCGAGGTCCGCGCGGACCTCCGGAAGTGCATGTCTGCGAACCCGCTCGTCTCTCGAACGCTGCGAGAGACAAGCGAGCTCAGAAACATAACAAAAGCATGAGCAGAAGAACGACAGCACGCTCATGAACAAAAGAAGCACACAAAGCATAACAAAAGCATCACAAAAGCATGAACAAAAGCAGAGTTCAGAGCTCACAAGCATGGCACGTTGCGGGGAACGAAGAATGACAGAAGCATCACAACTCGGAGGTCCGCGGACACTTCTCGGATCGGCGCTGGACCCCACTCCCTGGCGCGCGGAGCGCGCCAGGGGCGGCGCCGGAGGCGCCGCCACAGGGGTCCAGCGCGGATCCGAGAAATCCGCGCGGTGTTCCGAGCTTGTATGTTTATGGTCATCCCTTGCTCCCCTCATGTGAAAGGGCCCTGCGGCACACAAATAAATACACACGAAGAACCGGATTCCCAATATTTCCCTACATTTTCTGGATTTTTGTCTGCCCCCCCCCTTCCCATATTTTCCAATATTTTCCGGGGAGTCGACGATTATTTGTGTCTGTGTGTTTTTCCCCTCCTGATCATGAAACTGCTTGTCTCAGGCGGCGCGGGGCCTGCCAGCTCGGCTCGAATATTCATCGGATCGGTGGAAATCGGCACCCGAGGCGGGAAAGTGGAATCGGCGGAAATCGTCGGGCTGGCAAGCCTCCGTTGAGAGACATCGGAACCCTCATCGGCATCCCGAGCCGAACCGACTCGGAGCCGGCAGCCGATCGAAGTCGAACCGAATCGAATCGGAGGAGTCGAGAAACGAGCCCTGGCTGATGGGCCCATTTTCCACCACCAAAACCATAAGCTGGAGGGGAGAAGGCGGAGAAGGAGGAGAAGGAGTAGGAGTAGGAGTAGGAGTAGGAGTCAAGCTAGCCAGCTCGAGCGAGTCAAGCATGGCATGCCCAGTCCCACCCGCCCTCCCACAACATAAGAAGCAAAGCTGGCACAACTGGGGGCCGAAGTCACACCGGCCAGCCGGTTTGGTACAGCTGATGCGGCCGCGATGGCGGTTGCCGACGGGAACTGGCGAGCGCGTGTTGAATGCCGCGCACGCATTGCCAGACGAGTCGAGAATGGCCCGGTACACCGCAGGAAGCCAGAGGTGGCCGGAGGAAGCCCGACGGTCTGACAGGACACCCCAAAGCATTTTTGTGAAAAAGCATTGGGTTTTTGATGTTTTTATGTTGAAATGCTTGCAAACACACGGCGTTCGGTAGGATTCTGGCATGAACGCGCGAGTGTGCTCTTTGTGGTATTTTTTGCACAGGATTCGCGGCCTGGGTGCATGACAGAGCATCGCGAGTGCACCGCGCGATGACGCGAAATCGCTGGATTTGACAGAATTCTTCAGATTCCTATGGTTTTCCTATGATTTCAGCAAGAGAGCCCGGGCAAATTTGTACAATTTTTGTGAAAAAGCATTGGGTGTTTGATGTTTTTATGTTGAAATGCTTGCAAACACAAGGTGTTCGGTAGGATTCTGACATGAACGCGCGCGTGTGCTCTTTGTGGTATTTTTTTGCAATGGATTATCGCCGTGGACGACAGGACGTCCATGTCGAGAGGAAAAAATAAGAAAAATGTTGATTTTGTATTGTTTTTTACAGGTTAGGATGGGACCCCCCGGATGCGGCCCCTATCTGCCGGCCTGAGGGGGGAGTAGGAGTATATTCTAATAAGGAATAAGGATAGGAGGAGGAGGAGGAGGAGGATGAGGAGGAGAGGAGGGAGGGAGGAGAAGAGGAGGAGGAGAGGGAGGAGGAGGCGGAGGAGGACGAGGCGAGGAGGAGGCGGAGAGAGAGAGAGAGAGGAAGAGGAGGGGAGGAGAGGAGGAGGAGGAGGAGAGGAGGAGGAGGAGGAGGAGGAGGAGGAGGATGAGGAGGAGGAGAGGAGGGGAGGAGGAGGCAGAGAGAGGAAGAGGAGAGGCGGAGGAGGAGGAGGAGGTGGAGGTGGGAGGAGATGGAGGAGGAGAGGGAGGAGGAGGAGGAGGAGGAGGAGGAGGAGGAGGAAGAGGACCCCCTCGAACCTCCAACTCATGGTGGTGGTGGTAAAGAAACGAAGCCCACCTGGCGCTGCAGGCGCGGGGCCTGCCGGCTCCAGGCACTCGTCGAGGAGCCGCGCCTCCGCCTGGAAGCTGACCGGCGCCCTCCCGGCGCCGCCTGCCGGGCGGCGGGCGGCTGGGGGGCTCCTCCGCCTCCTCCGCCTCCTCCGCCTCCCCTCCTCCTCCTCCTCTCATCTCTCTCCTTCCTCCTCCTCCTCCTCCTCCGCCTCCTCCTCCTCCTCCCTCCTCCTCTCCTCCTCCTCCTCCTCCTCCTCCTCTCTCCTCTCTCTTCCTCCTCCTCCTCCTCCTCCTCTCCTCCTCCTTCCTCCTCCTCCTCCTCTCATCTCTCCTTCCTCCGCCTCCTCCTCCGCCCTCCTCCTCCTCTTCCGCCTCCTCCTCCTCCTCCTCCTCCTCCTCCTCCTCCTCCTCCTCCCCCTCCTCCTCCTCCTGATCCTCCTCCTCCTCCTCCTCCGCCACCTCCTTCTCCTCATCCGCCTCCTCCTCCGGGGGGCTGCCGGGCGGAGGCGATGGAGGAACCTGCCGCCTCGTCCGGTCAGGGCCAGGGCTCTGCTACATCAGGTCAACTACAATGGTATGTGATCGTAGCGTTCGTGCATTATAAAGGACCTGTAACACCGCCTTCGGCATGATGGCCACAGAAACTAAGCTGCTGACGGGTGCGAAGGACAGAGATGCACAAAGAGGCCAAGGCTGAAGGGAAGAAACCCCGTAGGGCGTGGAAAAACCTTGCGAGCAGCCGTGAGGAGAACAGGGCCAGACAGGCCTCGGAACAAATTAGCGAACACTCATGCCAAAGTCATCAGTCAACGCCTCCCCCCTCCCCCCAATGTTCAAAGTTGGCGGTGGGTCTGATGAGATGCACTTCGACCGCAGTCCCCCCCGCGCGTGCCAACATTGAGTTTGGGGGGAGGGGGAGTGTGCAGTAATTGTTTCCCTCCTCCGGAGCACCCCTGCCTCCTCGTCTTGTCGGGACCAGGGTCATGGTCAGGATCGGGGTCAGGGCCGTCCACATCCGATGGCCAGAGTTGGATCGGACGGAGCATCGGGCCACATCGGACCGCCAGGATATCCGAACCGCACTGGATCGGGCTGGCCGGAACCGATATTGAAGCAGATCGATGGGGTCGAACTGGTCCGTCCTGTGCCCCAGAACCCTTGTCCTCGACCGGGAGGAGGGAGGGGGAGGAGGAAAAGGAGGAGGATGAGGAGGAGGCGGGGGAGGAGGATGAGGAGGAAGAGGAGGAGGAGGAGGAGGAAGATCCTCAAAGCCCGTCCACGGCCTCGGAGGGCAAAGGGGTCAGGTCGGGCGTGTCCTCCCACAGGCGGTGTCTGTTTGGACGGGAGACAAAATGAGCCCTGAAGAGGCCCGAAGATCATTTTTCCCCACCCCCCAAGGCAAATCCGCTTCCCCTCATTGGGGGCTATACCCGTCCACAGCAAAGAGCGAACGTGCTCGATTGGCCGGTCTGTTCTTTGAGTGCCTTTGAGTGTATCCCTCCTGTGGAGGGACATGCCCGACGTAACACCCATGGCCGTCCGCGGCCTCGGGGGGCGAAGGGACCAGGGCCGAGCCTCCCTCCTTCCAAGAATGGTGGGCCTGTTTTCCACCACCACCACAAGTTGGAGGGGGAGGGGATCCTCCTCTTCCTTCTCCTCCTCCTCCTCCTCCTCGTCCTCCTCCTCCTCCTCCTCCTCCTCCGCGTCGTCCTCCTCGTCCTCCACCTCCTCCTCGTCATCCTCCTCCTCCTCTTCCTCCTTCTCCTCCTCCTACTGATCCTCCTCCTCCTCCTCCTTCTCCTCCTCCTCCTCCTCCTCCTCCTCCTCCTCCTCCTCCTCTCATTTCTCTCTTTCTCCTCCTCATCCTCCTCCTCGTCATCCTCCTCCTCGTCATCCTCCACCTCCTCCTCTTCCTCCTCCTCTTCCTCCTCGTCCTGCTCCTCGTCGTCCTCCTCCTCGTTCGTCGTCCTCCTCCTCCTCGTCCTTCTCCTTCCCCCCATCCAACTTGTGGTGGTGGCGGTGGTGGACAGCAGGCCTGTCCAAGAGGGGGGCCCGGCGCCCCGGACGCGGCTCGGCCGTGGGCCCGGAGAGGGGGGAGAACTCCCAGGGCTCAGGTCGGGCACGTCCCCATGCAGGCGGGCCTTGGACGACAAACAGTCAACCCGCAGAGTAAGGATGCGCGATAAGGATGCAAGGGCCTTGGGCGCCCAATTCGAAGCTTCTCGAGCGGAGCGCGGCCAACGAACGTGGCCAAGGATGCACCGAGGGGGCAAGGATGCAAGGGTAGCCTCGGGAAGGCTGCCCATCCTTCTTCTGCGGGTTGACTGTAGGTCGGGCACGTCCCCCTGCAGGCAGACCTTGAACGACAGACAGGGAAACAGTCCAGAAGTACTCAATAGCAGTGGAGAAACCTCGCACTTTCCAGCTTCGTGCTGCGCGAAGCGCGAGGTGCGGATGGCTCCGAAGCCATCCGCACCTCGCGGGAGCGCGAAGCGCTTCGCGCTCTCGCGCCGCCTCCCAGGGGAGAAGAGGAGGACGAGGACGAATCGGAGCCGAACCGCGAAGCGCGAAGCGCGAACAACTCCGCGCCCTCGAGGGCGCCCTTGCGCGGACTTTGGACGACAAATAGGAAACAGTCCCAAAATGCTCAAAAACAGTGGAGAAACATCGTCCCCAGACTATTGTTGGAGTATGTTTGAACAGTCCTCCTGTGGAGGGACATGCCCGCCTTGACCCAAGGCCTGGCTTGACGGCGATGTTGCTTGACGATGATGTTGGGAACCGAATTGTAGGACATCGCGACCCACACTTTCCTACATGTCCAATATGCGAATGGGTCGAGCGAACACGACAAGCGAAATGTAGGAAGGCGCGAGCCACGCGTTCCCACACTACCGAAACCTACATCGAAGTGACCTACATCGCCGTTCGCCCGTCTACGGGGATCGGGGGGGACAGAAAAGCACCGACGCCGCTAATTACTCATCGGACCTTTCCCCGGGCGCGCTCTGAACTCCGCGGCGAATCCAGCCGTGGCGACGAGGACATTCCACGAAGGGCATACTAATGCTATGCGCCCCCCTGTGATGCGCACGTCCGAACCGAACAGACATGACACAACAAAACATACAGTGTATCCTTTCCCAGGCGGTATGGCTAGGAAGCGCCCACCGCGCATGCACTATTCAGAGTTCTGAGCGCCCGCGTCGCCTTTGGGGAGCCGACGCGTACATGGGATATATCGGTGCAGTCCACCCGTAGAATAAGGATGCACGATAAGTATGCAAGGACCTGAGAAGGCCATGCCGAAGCGAGCGAATCGCAGCCATAAGGATGCACAGTAAGGATGCGCGATAAGGATGCGGGCCGCTAATTAAGGATGCACGATAAGGGTGCGAGCGGAGCGCTGCAAACGAAGGCAGCCAATGATGGCCCAAAAGGAAAGAGTGCAAGTGTAACCTTGGAAAGTTGCTCATCCTTCCTATGCGGGTTGACTGTAATTCTCGGTGATGCCGACCCCTCGCGAGACCCAGAGCACTGTGTCTTCTTCTCTGGCAGGAGGAGGAGGAGCCAGAGGAGGAGGAGGGGGAGGATCAGGGAGACGTAAGACTCGGGTTCGGGGGGACTCGGGTTGGCCTGGCCGGGCCATCATGAAAATGACGAGACCCAATCCGAAGTGTGACGCGAGCTCCCG